TGAAGGACGCCACGTACAGGCAGCTGGCTTTTGCACAGATTTCCACAAGGTGCCTAGATCCTGCAAAAACAATAAAGTGGGCTACAATAATGAACCTGCCAATCTGAAAGGGGCCAAGTGCCCTTCCAGTCTTGCTCCAACACAGGTAGTGTCCGAGATCTGATTCTCCGCCCTGAAGTCTCCAACCTCCTTCTGAAGGGCTGGGGGGGGGGGGGCTCCTCCCTTCCAGATGGGGATTGGTGATGAACTGGGGTCATAATGTAGGCTCCAAGCTTAAGGGGAGCAGGCAGACTTGTGTGTTTTCTTTGAAGCATTCCAGCTACCTCTACCAAGCTTAGAAAAAAATAACAAGAATCCGAGGCAGACACCTTGATCAAGAATAAACACTGTGAATTTTGCTGTGAGCATTGTTTGTGCTGGTTTTCCAGGCTCCTGAACCTAGTAACGTTACACTCGCAAGAAATACTTTGAGGCACCCAACAGCCCAACATGTCTTAATCTATTTTCACTGTAAAGTACAGTACACAAGTTATCAATGTTTACCAAAAGATTGCTTCTTTGAATCATGGGGAAAGCAACAGTCCAAGCACATGCAAGTAAACACTCACTTTATCCCGAAGTACAGTTGACATCAACTCCCACATCCAAATGAAAGTCTTCTCACCAAAAACAGAGCTCACAAACACAAACAGCTCTGCAGGCTACTCAGCACAGGTTACAGGACTCTGCCAGACATAAAGTCACTGCCATGCCACGACCATGGTACATTTAGCGAATAGGCCATCTCAGGAGACAGCGGCCAAGGGTAATGCATGGGCTGGCACTGCAGACATAGGAGTTCTTTTTCTTTCCCCCACATAGTAACACAAAAAACAACTGCAAGCCTGTTCTGAATCATACAGTTTACCTACAGGAAAATTTATGGGCTCTTCCCGTCCTTTCTCCCGCAGAAAGCTATGGCTTTCACTTTTCCCTACACATCTGCCGCCTTTTTTTCCTGCAGTTTTTACTTCTGATCAGTAGATGTTGGCAGCACATCACATTCACCACAGACACTGGTACTGGTGCATCACACATCTTAATTTTTTCTTTTACTCCCACTTCCCCTGGCTTTCACTCCTCATCCATCTTTTGATGCCCTTCCCATCTGCACAAGGTCTAGCTCCTTACTTCCAATTCCCTTTTACTTTGCTCTCCATTTGTATTTTAGGTTTCTCATGGAAGAGATACCATGCCGTATGGAAGCTCCTGCATCTGATTGGTGTTACTTAACATCACAGACTGAAAGCCCGGAGCACTGTCCCGCCAGTGTGGCACAGCCTGGGGCATATAGAGGGGGGAAAGGGCAGCATTCTTTGGAAGTGCACACAACAATGTCCCATCTCAACTAACTTTAATAAGCACCATTAGACAAGTTCTCTTTTTTATTTTTATATGAGATGAGGTTCAGAAAAACTCACAAGTTCAAGGTCAGACAGCTGAAGGTTGTGAAGGTGGGTCACATCTGATTCACTGAGCATCAACATTTACCAGTTATATCAAAGACAGCCTCTGGTCACAGAGCAAGGAGACCACAGAGCGAGGAGAAACCCTCCTCACCACTCACGAGGCCACAATGCATGTGCAGCTATGGAGACTCTGCTGGCCACAAGCGGGATTTGGAATGTTCCAAGACTTCAGGCCCTCACAGCACACAGAACAGTGTCTGGATAGGGGGGTCAACCTACACTCTCGGTAGCAGTACCAAGCCAAAGGCTTGGAGCATCCACTGACTAGTGCGTGAAATCTGGAGGAGGGACCATCACAATTCCTGGACCAACCCCAGCTGGACACAACCGCAAGAAGACCCAGCACCTAAGAACTGGGGGCACACCGTCACCTAAGATTGGGGGCACACTCTCCTGTTGGTGAGCCAGCCATCTGTGGTCTACAGCCATGTATGGCCCCGAGTCCCCTCTTTCAAGGCAGCTCACTTTGCCTTGGGAACCCCACTCCCCTGGCACCTCCCCCAGGACTTGGTGCCCAGCACTGTCCAGTGAATATGTGCCAACCCGCTATAAAGAGGGAAAGTATCTTCTTACTGAGACGCTGTAGTGTAGAATGAGTGACACTAGTGTCACCAATGGGAAAACTCCATATTTGGAAAGCTTCACTTCTGAGCAGGTCCACAGTAGAGGGATCCCTCCACCAAACCCTCCACTGTTTGATGGTACAGGCAAAACAAACTTCTCTCTGCCCAGTAAGGCAGCCACATGCCCAGTATGGGGTCTGGGCCAGCGGGCAGTAGGACATCCCAACTCTCCTTTCAGGCTCCCACAGGTGTGCACCTCTGATTAAGGCCTAGAATCGCCTTAGTATGACATTTTAACAAGTGGTCCAGGTGACTCACACTTTGATGCTCTCGTTAATTACCAAGTTGGGTGGTTTCCCACCAAACCTTGCAGCACATCCAAGCCACAAAACCCCTTTAAAATAAAAGCCTTCGTCTTAGTCACTTAACTGTACCATATTCAACGTTCTCTTTTACTTTTTCCTAATAGTGTCTCTTCCAGCATGCCTCCTAAAGTTTCCTAAAATTATCAAGGACCTTTGAGACTCTAGACCCACACCTCTCATTTCGGTAGTCCGGGGACCTGGCATCGCCAGGAAATCCACAGAAGTCAGGTCCCAGCGCCCATACACCAGCAGCCCAAGTGGGAGTGGGGCGAAGTGGGTTTTCTTAGGATTTGCACAGCACCACTTGCAACTGTAGGAGACACGCGGGGACCCTAACTTCGCGGAATTTCCACCGCAGTTGGCTCCAGGCCGCTGCAGAAGCCAGCGTGGACCCCGGGCCTGACCGCTCACCCCCGACGCACGTGAATCCCGGCCCTAACCCGGGCTGGCGACCCTGCAGCCACCCAAAGTTGTCAGCGCCCAAACCCCAGGCGCCCGCGATACCCAATTCCCTTCTGCGGCGCACGCACCCAACGTGTCCAGCGTCGGGGAACCCCGCCCCCCAACACACACTGAGAAACAGGACGGGGACGACGGGTTTCAGGGTGCCCCACCCCAGCCCAGAGCATCAGGTCAGCGCCCTAACTCCCCAGGTCGCAACCCCACCCCGTCCGACTAGGGGCGCCTCCCCCTCCTGGGCGTCCCCTGCTGAGTGAGACCCGGGGCCCCGGGTGGGGGCAGGGAAGGGGTCCCGACTTGCTTGACAGTTTCCGCGCTTGCCTGAGCCTGGGAAACCCGGCAGACGCGGGTCCTGCACCCTACGGGGATGAATGGGCTCCCCTCCCCCATGGGGATCCCGCCACCTTCTGCCCCGGCTCCGGTCGGCACAGGCTGCCCAACTGGCCCCGGAACGGCAAAAGGGCTCCTGGGAAGGAACCCAGCGCCTCCCCAAACTTGCCGGGCGCCCTCCCCCCAACCGGTCCCCAAAACAAAAGTGCTTCCTTCGTCCTCCTCGCACCCCGACGCGGCGACACTTTGGGGAGCGGCCGTCCGGGGTGTTGTTGGGCTCGGGGGAGCGCGCACACCCCCGCCCCGACGCCCAGGGGATCCTCGGGGAGCGGCCCGGAGCGGTGGCCGCCGTCGCCCCTCGGAGCGAGCGAGAAGTTTGCGCCCCGCCACCCACCGCGCCCGCACTCACGCCGGCGCCGCCACCACCGAGCCTGGGCCGAGTGCGGCCGCCGAGGGCTCCGCGCCCCGGAGCCGCCGCCGCCGAGTCCCGAGAGGGCGCGGGCGCTGCAAAGTTTCCGAGCCGAATGGCTGCCGGGCGCGCGGCGGCGGCAGCGGCGAGGCGCGGGGGGGGGGGGGGGGCGCTGGCGGCGCCGAGCTCCGGAGCGCAGGGGATAGCGGGGGGCGGGGCGGCCGCGTGGGCAGTGGTGATCTCGGGAAAGCAGCAGCCGCCGACGCGCAGACCCCGACCCGGGGATCCCCCCTCCCAGCGCCCGGGTCCCGGTTCTCTACGCCCTGGTGGGGGCCGCGTCCCTGCCATGCAGCTCTTCCCCGATGCAGCGTAGACCCGGTCGGGGCTGGGGGACTGTGTGTATGTGTGTGTACAGAATTCCCCATCCCAAGCTTAGGCCGGAGGTGGGTAGGTGGGTGGGTGTGTGTGCGCGCGCGCCAGACTCCGCTGGTGCACTCTTCTGGAGAAGGGGACCCAGGCCCCTTCTGTGGTTTCTAGAGTACAGTGGGGGGGGAAGGGTAAAGCGTTTCCAAAGTGTTACCCTCCCCCACTTTAAACAAGCAGCCACTCAAAGCACCGAGTGAGCCCTTACATTCTGCCCCCAGCGTGCATCTCCCACAAAAGTGGCGGTTTACAGACGCCCCGAGAGTCCTTAACCCACCCCCCAAAGTGGGGGCTCATTCTGAGCCTCGACCTTTGCGACAGCCAGAAACACGGGGTGGCGGAGCGGCCAAGAAACATACGGGTGGACCCCAAGGAGGTAAGACCTCAGGAGGAGCCAGTTGGGGATCCCAGGCTGTAGGATCCACACACCCTCAGTCCCTCTCCCAGGCCTCCGACCGCGGAGCTTGGCAGTGTTTCAACGCTGCACGGGCTTGTAGGGCCAGCCCTGGGATTCCCGAGACCCCACGCTCCGGCCTCCGCTCCGGTGGGGGACAGCTGCCCCCCTCCCCGCCTTCATTCAGCTCAACACACACTCTCTTCCCCTCCCCAGCACCTTTGGTGTCTACCTCGTTGGGTATTTTTTCCATAAATTTACCCCTCCCTTTGGTATCTAAGGAGCGCAGTACTGGTAGCCCAGGACACTGGGCAATTTAAACTCTATCCTTACTTGCTCCAGCCAAGAACACTAGACCATTTGTTGTTCTACTCGTTGGCGGGAGAAGGGGAGGGACCCGCGGTTAGTTTTTAAGGGGCCCGATCCTCCCCATCAAAAAGGCGGACAAAAAAAAAACTATCCTGAAAAATATTGCTGTAAAACCTCATTGATGTCAAAGATTGTTGCTACACCATTATTAGAGCACATCAAGAAAAAATACACACTTACACAGTCTCCATAATTGTGAATCAGCAGAACACATTGTGTCTTATTAAGTATCAGTTGTCATTCGAGAAGCCCCAGAAGGACTTGATAGGCCCGTTCCGTGAGCCTGCCTTCTGGTGCTCCGGGGCTCCCTGGGCTTATGCAAGCTTAAGCTGAGGTATTACATGCAATCGACAAATGAAGAGTGCAATAGAAAACCCGAACAGGCTCATGATGCAATCGGGCCCTAGTTACACGTGCTTCCCCTCCCCCAGCGCCTACTGGTGGGAGCGCGGCGTTTTTTCCGCTTGTAGGGTCACATTGTGGTTGGTTGATTCTCTTTTCGCCTTGCTCAGTCATTCAGATTTGGAAAGTAAATAACAAGTTGACTTCTTTGTGGCTCAGGGCCTTAAGGGGACTCTGCCCTAGGCTACCGCACACTCCCGAGTAGTCGCGCATGACAAAACCAGCCGCTGTGCTCGTCAGCAGCCGCTTGGAAATTCCAACCTGAACTTGTTAGGAAGCCTGTCTGTACCTGTCTGTGATTTGACAGATATCAGACACCGAAGGCTGGCTGAGGAAAGCGATGGATGGGCTCGCTCTGGAAGCAGGGTCAGGGTGACCCGGTTTCCAAGCACTGCCTGCAAGGAAAACTTCGAATCCATCTTGCCTGTTTGGTGCTGGTCCCCAAATCCTAACGGTGGTCTGGCCTATAGAAAGTTAAGGCTTTTATCGAAGACCATAGAATTCCTCCCCAAGGGGATTCTCCCCTGTATCATAAAATCACCAAAAATCCTGTTCGTGGCTGAGTGGTATGTGGGTGATAAATTACACCACTGTATTTCATGGTGTTAGTTTCTCAGAGGTGAAGTCCTGTAGGAGAAAGAAAGCCAGGATATTAGAACAGGAAGGAGCGCGTTCTGAGGAGTGGAGGACAGATAGAATAACAACCACTTTGTATGCTTTAATTTTGTAATTTGGACAACTGTTTCTAAGATGACAACTAATGATTCCTTACTGTATATTTTTTTTCTTGAAATTCTATATTACTTGTACCCTTTTACTGCTTTGTTTTGTTTTCTCTTTAAATAAAAAATGAAAGAAAGAGAGCAACGGTTTTCACAATACTCACTGCAGTAGGTGTGCCTGCATGTGTACCTCTGTGTGTGCTTATACGTGCATGTGCGTGTGCATGTGTGTAGGTAATGTTCCAAGCTGGAGGAAGGAAGGATCTGCTTGTGACAAGCACCCTTAGCAGTCCCCAAAAGCAGTGCTCAAAATCGAATTCAAAAGCAGTAGGAGCCTTCATGGTGATGCATTCTGGGAGAAACAAAATTGTAACAATGAAAAAGATCAGTGGTTGCCAGGAAAGAGAGAAATGAACTGCTTAAGCACAGGAAAGTGTTAGGGTGATGAAATTCCTGTACTGTAGTGGTATTACAGAATAGCTGGGTGTGGTGGCACCCCAGCTAGGTAATTCCAGCGCTATGGAGGCTGAGGCAGGAGGGTTACCTAAACTCACCAGTTTAAGACCAACCTGGGCAACATAGCAAGATCCTTCTCAAAAATCCAAAAGAAGCCCAGCATGATCCCACAGACTTGCAGTCCAAGCTCTGTGGCAGGCTAAGGCAGAAGGTCACAAGTTCAAAGCCAGCCTATCTCAAAAAAAAAAAAAAAAAAAAAAAAAAAAAAAATATATATATATATATATATATATATATATTAAAGCAACACAAAAAATAGGCTGGAGATATCACTTACTATGAAAGCCCTGACTTCAATCCTAGATACAGCAAAGTAATAATAATATGTACAACACAAAGAGTGAATCCTAATGTGAGCATTCAACCTTAAGTTGCTAATACCTAGTTGTAATGCTGTACCATACTAACAATATGTTAATAATACCAGAAGCTGGGGGTGGGGGAAGTCTGTAAGATATACTCAGTTGCTCTGTAAATCTAAAACTATTTTTAAAAATAGCCATGTTTTGTGTTCAAACTACACACCTGTAGTTTGAACTACTATTTGGAAAATATTTACAGCAAACTCTCACTTGAGCCTGGGAATACAAAGCCAGGCCAGGCAACATAGTAAGATCCTGTCAAAAAGATTTTTAAAATTCTTCAAAGACAGCATATCAGATTTTAAAAAAGAATAGTGGGAATAGAGGTTAAACTTCTCATGAAATTTAATGCCCAATTTTTGTTGGATTTATTATTTAATTTCCTGCAGGTCCATCTGATTTTCAAAGATTTCTAGATATGGGGACCATTTGCTTCTGACCCGTTAAAAAAGCCCTGCTCCTCCAAGAAGGGACCCAAATTTCCAGAATCTGTTTGTTAAATTAACATCTTAATGCTTACCACCTTATTGCTCTATTTTTACCAACTGACAAAGTTTACATGGGTGTCACCCTCTTTAGAGAGAAGCATTGGCTTTCTCCAGGTATTATGTGATATTACTATTATATCAATCAAAAGAATGATAAGATAATACAAAGAGAGCCAAAGGTGCAAGCAGAAAAGTCAAAACGAAGTCTGAAATTATTCTAAAAGGCAGTGGTAAGCACTCTCTACAAGTTTAGGGGAAATCAACAACACAGTCATCAAGATAAATAATACAATGTTCTCTGTATGCATGTATAGTGCTGGGGATAAAACCCATGGCTGTGTGCATCACAAACCTGCGTAATGCCACATCCTAAAACACAAAGTGAATGCCAAAACTTTACGGTGCATGAAAGATCATAATGTTAGGTAAAAACAAGACCTTGCCCTGCCTCTGTGACCTGGCTTTGCCCTGCCACATATAGTGTGTGTTCTAGGATATGGGGGAGGATTAGTTCACAGAGAAGCACCCTTCTCTGCCCCAGGGAGCTTTCTTTCTAGGATGGAGATCAGAAAACAGTGGTCCAGGGCCAACCAGTCCGGGTCTCCCAGAGTCGATGCCTGGGGACACCGAGAGGCAACTAACTTTTGTATTTCTACTTTGTACTGTTCCAAGAGTTTGCTGATCTTGTTCTAGGAAAAATGACTTCTGAACTTCTTCCTAGGAAAGTTTGTGTGCATGCATATTGATTTCAGAATGAATTAATGAAGGACTACTTTAAAATATGTTTAATAGAAAGGAAGGAAATGATAAAGACACCAGTATTGGCCGGATCCTAGCAGGTGACACTGCAGGGCTCTGGAAGGTTTTGTGGACATGCTCAGTGTGTGGGAGGAGAGGGTTGAGGTCCCTGATAATATGGGACCAAATGAAATGGGCTTGAGAGGAGCTGATGCTGCTGACAAAGGAGTAACTAAAGCACTAGGGAAAATACTGGATCAAAAGAACTTTATAGATGTATATTTTTAATCTAGTACAGTTTTACAGTTCCCTAAACATCGGCCAGCACTGTGTCACTGACAGTCATAGTAACATACGCAGGAGTTGGGGAGAAATGATCCTGTTTCTACTCGCTTTGCAGAAAGCAAGGTGGCCATTATGGCTGTCACAGTGGCACAGTCTCCCTGCAAGGGACTGGGGAACTCAGAGACTTCAGGGAGTGATTTCTTCCCTATTGCTGCCACAACATACTCAGTGGCTTGAAATAACATTTACTATCTGACAATTCTGTGGTCAATTCTGGGGTTTTATGGGGTTTTTTTTCAGTATTGAGAATTGAACCTAGAGCTTTCACACTGAGCTACTTTGACAGCTCATTTTACATTTTTTAAATTTTGAGACAGGATCTAAGTGGCTAAATTGCCCAGGCTGAGCTGAAAGTTGTGATTCTCCTGCCTCAGCCTCCCAGAGTGCTAGTATTACAGGCCCAAACCATCTGACCTGGCTATTTTCATGTTTTAATGGACAGGGCCACAGAGTGCCTAGTCATCTGGTTAATCACTGCCTTCCCCGGTGTGGGCAGGTATCCCTCCCTCTTCAACAGCACAGGACAAAGAAGTGGGAGGAGCCTGGTCTCAGCCTCCCTGTGCCTGGCTCCTGGGGCTGGAAAGCACCTACACCTGCCCTCAGCATTCCTGCTCTGACACCTTCTCACTTCCAGGAGGAAATTGCATTCGATATTTCCTGTAAAATTAATTTAGCTCAAAAGCATACATATGGAAACTTATGCACATCCCTTCTATGCTAGATGTATTACTGAGGGAGACTGTACATGAGGATGAGACAAAGGGCTTTTCTCCAAGAGATTCTTCTGCCCAGACTTGAACATTGTTCAGGTTGAATATTTTAGATTCTTTCAATCATCAGTTCATTTGGCATTAAAAAAAAAAAAAAGAAAAAAAAAAAAAAACTGCCAGAACTTTGTGTATCTGAAATTACACAAATATGCAGGAATGGAGCTATAATATGCTGAGACAGGATGGTCTTGAGTTCAAGGCCAGCCTAAGTTATGAGAGACCCTGTCTCTAAATACCATAAATGAATGGATGAAAAGTAAAAAAATAAGAAGCAAGCAAGCAATGGGCTGAAGGCGAGCTCAGGAATAGAGCATGTGATTAGCATATGTAAGGCCCTGGGTTCAAACTCCAGCACCACATCCATGCTCCAAAAAAATAATGAAAAAAATGTTATTAGGGTACACATAACAAAGTCGTCGAGGCCTGAGATTTGTTGGAAACATATGACCCAGCGTTCTGTTCATAGTACATTAGTTATAATTTCCTAATGGAGCTGAAAGGTTTTCCTTTAAGGTAGTTATCACGTCCCAAGCAATGATTCAAAGTCATTCTTCAAATAGCATTGCAGAGGCTCCTCTTGCAAAAATAAACAAACTGAAAACAAAAATCCTTTTAGTAATGTGAATTTAATTATAATCAAACAAACACTGAGAGCATTCCATGTATATCTGTGCGTGGGGGGGGGGCAAAATGATAAAACCCAGCTCTAGCTTCTTAAAACACATAATCTTTTCAGACGCCAGCTGTTTAATAAAAGCTGAGAGTGATGAATGGTAGGAATAAGTGTATAATTGTATGTGAGTGAGGAGGGAGGGTAGTTAATAATCTCACAGGGATTTATCTATTTTTCTACATTTGTATTGCTGAGTGGATATTATTATAAAAGATTGTTATTCCACTTTCTTTTTGAAATTGCCCTGTTGGTAATTCATTCAGTAAAATGCAAGCACACTCACTTTCTTTTTTTCAAAAACCCACTTGCTTTCCAAAGGCACG